AAACATCCAAGAATGTTAGTTCCACCAGTCTGGTACTTTTAATTACCATGTGCAATGTAGATAAAGCTTGGGCAAGGACCAAATGTTCTCACATAAACCTTGCCTAGACATGTATATTTCTTGATCTAGTTGTATGTATAATTTGTCAGTAGGTTGTTGGACTAATATGGTTCCCTCTGTTCTTTTAAAACTAGCTAGGCATTGTTTATCTCTCACATTCTCTAACCCTTCCACCATGGTTTCCCCATTTACGGTGCCCCCATTTTTCCCATTTCTCCCTTAATAATACCCTTCTCCTATGGTCCCACCTCTCTTGAACTCCTTATTTCCCTTTATCCCTTAGGTTCCTTGTATAACCTTCCCTCCCCCTTCTCCTTAAAATAACCCTATTTTTATCTGTATCTTCCTTATTAACACCTGTTTCCTACTGTTCTTGTCTTTCAGATTCTTTCTTTTCCTTTATCTCCCTGGTTCCTTTTCATTATCCTGGTTCCTGTAGTTATGTCTGGGTACATACTCAGGATTTGGTGCTAGGATCCACATATGAGGGAGAACATACTTTTTTTTTTCTTTTCTGAATCTGTGTTACAGTATAACAGTTTCTAGTTCCATCCATTTACCTGCAAATTTCACGATTTCATCTTTACTGCTGAGTAAAACTCTATCGTATAAATGAACCACATTTTCATCATCCACTCATCAGTTGAGGGACCTAGGTTCTCTTTTTACAAAAAAAAAAAAAAAGATTAATTTTATTTTTACTTATGTGTTTGCAGGTGCCCTTGGAGGCCAGAAGAGGGCAATTGGATCCCCTAGAGCTGGAGTTATAGGCAATTGTGAGCCCCCAATATGGGGGCTGGGAATTGAGTTCTGGAAAGAGGAATAAGGACTCTTACACCGCTGGACCATGTCTTAAGCCCTGTGATTGCCTTCTTTTGCTGAGCCCTGTGTCCTCCAAGTCATCCACATTTTAGTGGGTATCAAGAGTTGTGCTCCTTCTTATGACTGAATAATGTTCCACTGTCTGTGTATTAGGGTTCTGTAGAGACAAAGAACCATTGGGATGTGTACAGAGTGATGAGCCACAGGGAACTGGAGCACATGGTTGTGGACCTGTTGAGTCCCCACAGCTGTAGCTGCCGAGCTGGAGACCCAGGGACGACGATAGCCTGAGTTCTGGAGACCCAAGAAGGGCCATGTTTCAGTGTCCTTCTCGTGTGCTCGTGTGAAGGCAGGACGGAGCCAATGTCAGGCTCTGCAGGAGGCTGGTGTCCCCTCTCGCTTGCTCCTGTGTACTCGTCTCTCACTGGTTAAAGTCTGCCCACACAGGCCAGGCGTGGAGGCGCATCCTTTAATCCCAGCACTCAGGAGGCTGAGGCAGGTGGCTCTCAGTGAGTTTAAGGTCAGCCTGGGCAACATAGTAAGTTCCAGGTGAGCTGGGGCTACAGGGAGACCCTGTCTCAAAAAAAAAACAGTCTACCACACAGGCATCTGCACATGGCTCCTCTATGAATGCGAATGTTAATCACCTCAGTCCAAATGTATATCCAGCAGTCCCGCCATCCCAGTGTAGACAGACTGTGTCCATCAACTGACGGATGTAGGAGAAAGCTATGAGAACACGCAGGCCTGAGCCCTCCTCACTCCGTTTTCACTGCAGGGTGGAATTTTAGGGGTTCTAGTTCTCTGGTCAGAATTCAAGCTTAGTTCTCTTCCTGGAGCAAGAATCGGACCACTTGTCACAGCTCTGAGTGTGGGCACTGGGCCCAGGGACAGGACCTCTGAGGCAGTGGGTATGCACTTGTCTTCAGATGACCAGGCCCTCTATCATGTTGGTTGGAGTCTCCTGGTTGCCTCAGACATGGTAGAGGGCCCACGCAGGAGGAGACCCAGCCAGGCTGCCTCTGCAGCACTCACATTTGCTTCAGAGAACCTTCCAGATTGAACTTGCCCTGCCCCTGCTGCCCTGCACTGATGTCTCCCCAGCTCCCTTTGTCCTCCCTCTGGGGTCTGGCTATTGCCCCAAGACACTGTCCTCTGCCCCCACTCTCTCACGCGCCTTCCGCTGGGGCCTCGGGCTCTGGCTAGATGGCGAAGAGTGAAGAGCAAGGGCTGCCCTCTTCGCTCGGCCACATTCCCACTCTGCAAAGTGAGCCAAACAATACTTTCCAGTTTAGCAGAATCTGGACAACCATCAGCATCATTTTTATTGCAAATGAGTTAACAAAAAAAGATGAAAAAAATACATTTTCATTATCTACAATTTGGTATGTAGATAACAATTTTTTTTAAATCTTTTTTTTTTTCCTGCAAACTACATTCTATAAAACACGGTAAGAATCAACATCTTAGGACGTGTCCGGTCATGCCCATTGGGGATGGTACAGAAGCTGCCTCCCCCCAAAAACCAGGAGGAATTGCCCTGAGGTGGGTACTTGCCTCTGAGCAAGCCCACACCCCAGCACACACTGGCTCGGGAGAGGACTTAGGCGGCAGCAGAGCTGTCCTGGGTGGTGCTCTTAGGAGCTACATTCTGGCAGCTGCAGGTCACGAGGCCTTGGTCGTACTGAGCTGAGCCATGTTCTGACATTTCTCATCAGCTTAACACAGGACAGACTTGTTCCTTTAGATTTTTTAAACAAAATCCACCTTTAAACACATATTTACAAACATTTATTCTGCCACAGGCTTATACTTATACTGCAAGAATCTGTGGTGGGCACTCCCCTGAACCCGGAGGGGTGGTCCAGAAGCAGGCTCCGCCCACATTCCAACACACTCAAGGCGCGGACACCCAATGTCCCCACCCCTGGCAGTTGGGTGATCAGAGGACACTGTATTTCTCCCAGAGATCTCAGTGAGTCCACAGTGCGCCCAAGGGCCATTCAGCAGTCAGGTGCTGGGAGCTAAGGCCCAGGCAACGACAGTCCATCCACTTGCTGCATTTAGGGGATGCTGTTCAAGGGGTTGTGCTGAGGCCCCACTGGGAACAGCCTAGGCAGCGTCCTTCTCTGGAAGGTAGGATTCTTCTGTGTGGCCTTAAGAGGCCCCCACATCTACACAGCTTACTGGCTCAAGACGGATGTTGGAAGGCAGTAGGACAGGGCTGGAGTGAATCACTTGCAGGACCCCTGAACACTGAACCCCAAACAAAGATTCCTGACTGGTACCTGGCGGCACACTCTCCACACATGCCAAGAACACTTTATTAATGAAACTTGCTCAGGCGGTTTTAGAAACACCAAAAGTGAAAAACACATCATTTTACTTGTTTCCTGTTTTAGATACAAAATTAATCCATGTGCCAATGTATAAAGGCCTCGTCTGTCTCTAAATCCATATTCTACAAATTTCAGGTGACAGGGAGGAGGGGCAGTGGGTATGTACGGGGTGTTGGGCATCTGGGGGAAGGCTGGGTGGGGGATGTGATTGTGGGCAGGACAGGTTCCAACTTCCCTTTTCAACACCATGGTTTCCTTTTGGATTTCGGAAAGAAGCGATTAATAAATAAACAGCATTTACAAATCATGAATCTTTGTTCATATTTTACAGACACACAGGGATCTTCACCCTGACCAGGAAAATCAAGGTTCTGAGAACTAGTTTATCTTCTTGGAACAGATAAAAGCTTTTACCTGGTGCCATAGAAAACAGTACATATAAATAAAAAGGCAGTGTTTCTGTGTAAAATAAAAGTACATAAATAAATACTAAAAAAAAAAAATTGAAATCCTTGTTCTCTTATTTTGTATAAAAATTTTTCTTTTTCTTTTCTTTTCTTTTTTTTTTTTTTTTTTTAAAAAAAAAGGCTCTTTTGTTCCCCCAAACATCCCGGAGCACTGGAACCCCGCCCCAGCGGGCTTTGGGATGGGCGGCTGCGGTCCACCTCTTGTTTTTTCTTTGACA